AAGATCCTGACTTTCGTAATGTTTTGAGTTTTCGAAAAAATGTTAATTTCGCAACGTGCCTCTTGTGTCTCCCACTACGCCACTGGTGCCATCACAACAAGGCCATGCTCAGCCTCACACGCTATGCGTTTTCTATTTACTGTTAGTCTTCATTGTTAGTTTGTCTTTCATATAAAAGCCATGGCAATTTGTTAGGTAAATACGTTCTTATTTCACCTGTATGAGCCTTTACAAATATGGCGTGTTAAAATAAACCATTACTTAGTTCGATTTAAATAAGTACAAAGTAAATAGCTGTTAGATGACTTACACGGTGCGTCATCGTATCCGCAATACTGCAGAGTCAGCAAAATGGGATAGTAAGTTGACTGTTGGTAGTTTTCGAAGGAATTTCCATTATGGTTTATTTTGAATTTCAGGGGCAACAGTCAGCGATTGCATTATCTCGAGCGTAAGCGTAACGGTTTGTCACTGTTCATTGTAAACGAATCATTAATATTGGTGACATTAAGATTTAGGGATTTTTAGTTGACAGTGGCAACAGTGCAGTGTTGGTTGCCTAAGCTCGACGATCACGTGGATTGTAAACATATGAAGGCTCTGTATAAGCACGCCATTACTATTTTTAAAAGTAAATCGTCAAAATTTGCCATAACCCATTTACAAAATTACAGCGAACGAGTGAGCAATTACGCCCACATGCTTACTCGCTAAAATACGCGCCTAATTCTCTCGTGTTTTTTTTTCCGGCGGTTCCTAATTCGTAAGGAAAACCGTGCGTTTTAAAATATTTTGTTCGTCCGTGTTAGCGCCCGCCCGTTAAGTGAATAATACTCAGTCTTAACGAGGAGGGTACACACGGTTAGGCAAACACGGGAGTAATGTTGTTAGTCACCGTATATTTTAACGCGATTGTTCGCGACCGGGTCTCAAAGCCGGACCGCTAATTGTCTTAATTCGTTGGGCTCATCGTGGGCCCCTCCGCGTTCGGGGTCCGTAAACAATGTTAGGATTGTTTGTAGGCGCTAAAATGGATGTTTCTGGGTCCCGGCCGGGAGATCCTCGGATTGATTTACCTTTCTAATAGTCGAGATTAGGCGTTCCGCCTCGCGAGATAGATTTCCATTTCCGTGGCGTGCCTACGCATTCCAATCTTATACAAGGAGATTCAAAAATTTACTGACCGCCATATTGTGCAAAACCATACTTATCGTATCAACTTCGACGTCAGCTGTTACGTTGGTGTTGTATAATAATGAAAACGTAATATTGACAGTTGGTAGAAGGAAGCGCAAAAACAAACGCTTAGGTGGGGAATTCTGGAAGGAAGCCTAGATAGTGGAGGTGAGGAGAGCGCAGAGTGAAAAGTAAGACGATCGGTGTACGGTGAAAATACATAAGTAGTAAAATTAAAGTGTTTAACCCGTATTAATTAGCAGGTAATATTCTCTAAGTACTTTGTTGTTAATTGTTCTATGTAATCTTATGATTGTGATGGTTATAGATGTTTCATGATAGTAATTCTTTGTATGTGTAGCCTCCATTGCTTTATGCTCAAAGGCATATATTTTTCTAAGGTAAAATTGTTACAATTATTATTAACGATTGCTCATTATTTATTACATGTTAAAATATGTATATTTTGTCGTGACTGCCCGGATATTGTAATAACAACTCCTTTGTTTCACATTTAACTTGTTTTGTCATGATTACGTTGTTCGAAAAACAAGTAATAAAGCATTCCTTGTGCTCACGTTATGTCATACGCATATAAGAGCCTTGTTGAATTTACTAACATTTTCGCCCGTGAGGAACGAATCTGGAAAAAAAAAGAATAATTAAATACAAAAAAGAATTGCTAAAACAGATCTTCCGAAATATCAACTCAGCTGGATTGCCGCCCGTATCGGACTCCAGTACCTTCCGGCCCTATCGGCTAACTAACACTGAACCTCTTCAGTTTTACTTGGAAGTGTGTATGTCTAATTCGAGTGAGGTGATATTTAGTGACACATTAAATGAGTCGGGCGTTAATTATAATTAGCAAAGGATCCTAATTTATGCCTTTTGTTAGCGGTTGTTTTGTATTTATATTTGGGTAGTTAGAGCCACGATCGTGGGTTTCTCTGCCATGCTCTTTCCCCATAGGAGCTCTAGGTGAGCCTGGCACTCTCATTTTATGTTAAACGGTTGTTAATGTTTTTATTGTTCATTCTATTTGTTTAATTGTGTTTAATGTTTAATTTGAAGATTGTTGTACGTAAATAATAAAGTTAGGTGTATTTACTCTGCTTTTGTTTTATAAAATTGAACCCTACTTCCCCTCTTTAAAGTTAGTAGCCAGCGCCTTTCGGTCGATTAAAAATAGATACATACAACGTAGGTATTCCTTATGACGATCACATATTTTTGGCCACAACTACGTTTATATTTTATTCGACCGAACCCGGGGTTGTTATACTACAATATAGTACTCTCTTTTTAATTACAAAGGATCAAGCCATAATTTTTTTTTTCGTGGAAAAATTAGGAATGAAACACGAATTTAAAATAAATACAGTCCATAGAATATGTGGAGATAGAATTCCAAGAACAGAACCGAAGAAACACGCCTTTGTATCTGCAAAACACAGTATGCACTGCAAGCTGCTACGGTGAACGCCACGCCGCCAATGTCTTTCTACCTCGGGTGCCGAACACGGTTAATTCTAAGAAAGTGTATTCTAAGTATCTTCTTAGAATTCTTCTCCACAAATATCGTACGGACTGTCTGTATAATTTTCTAATAAAAAACTTGTTGGGGGTTGCTGATTTCACTGTAGAAGTGTGAATAATGTTGATCAACTTTGCAATGTAAAATGGAAAATATATTACATACAATGGTCATCAATCTGACTACTATTTAATTACATTCCCCAGAGACCCAACCTTGGGCCGTTGTTGTTTTTATTGTTTATAAACGACTTGTCTTTTATAATAGAAAGTTACTATACAGGATGTTAGAAGTTTGACTACCTTAATTTTAACAGACGATAGAATATATTAAAATAAGCAAAACAAACCTTGTATGGCATGGGTTCTAAACTCAACCATTTCCGAGAAAAAAATTATCAAAATCTGCAACTGATGTACAAAAGTTCGATTAATTAAGGAATATTGACATAACTGCGTGCAAGGAATACCATAAAATACAATGTTTATCGCTTTTGTGAACCTCTTTATGCTTAATTCTAAAAAATAATTAGCGTTGTAATAAATTTAAAATTCGATAAAATTCATGTCAACAATGTGATAACGGCGCGATGGTACTAAGCTGTCCAGCAATACGCAATTCAGTTGGTATCTGGAATTGGACCGTGTCTGAGTGTTTTTTACGTACCACTATTTCCTTTTCAAGAGGTGTTTTTCAGCGAGTGCGCGAAAATTGGATTCGAAGGTGTCGTGCGTGCATCGGCGTGCTTTTTGGTAAGTCCCTAAATTATTTTTAGTACGTATGCTTATTCGGACAACGTGAATCTACGGGTACTTTAATTACATATTTTTCAAATCCATAATTTGATTAAAAGTTAAGTTCCTGTTTTAAGAGATTAATAATTACTAAAATTTAAGCACTACACTATCTTCGAACTCCAAAATCGATACATTTTATTTTATTTATTTAAAAACTGGATATTAATTGTCTTGAAATTTACTAAATGTTTCACAATAATAGTTGTTTACATTTTTTCCGTAGGACAAGTCTGCCGCGTGCACACGTGGTATGCACCAGCTGTGTAGCGTTAGGTTAAGCGCTGTTGTCACGTTGTGATGAAACTCCCCAATATTAATACTCGCTGTACTTTGAAAATTGTTAATCTTATGCCCCTGCAATATACAACTTTTTTGTTCATTTATGATTACTCTATCTTATGCTGAAGTAATGGCAGTCAAACTTCTTAGACCCTGTATATTTGTTGCTGACGATCTTAAGTCGTTCATGAAAATTAATTAACATGAATGCCTCCTAATTCAACAAATGTAAATTCAAATATTTTATTCAAGCCTCTTTTATTTGCAACATTTTTTGATTTCCGGTAAGTATATGTAATTGTCAATAACTCGGCAACGACAATGTCCAATAGCCGCCTTCGGGAGCTTATTATACATGAATTGGAGAGTAATTTCTGAAAGTTTAACTAATTTTTATAAAATAACAAATTATTTTAAGAAACATAGATTTTTGTCATTTATTCATCCACGTTGTTTTGCGCTTTCGACTGACCCTTTCCACCTTAACCTTTAAAACTTGCGTGAAGGGATTCGACACGTTGCATTGCATAGAAACAGAGACATAGAATTTCTCAGAGCATATTCTAAGAAAAATTTATCACTACCCAATTTCATACTATGACCACTTCTTCTCGCAATAAGTACCCCCTTAGAAAACATTATTAATCTAAATATGAATTATTAAAGTATCTTCGAAAATTTTGAATAATTTTTCATGTTTAAAAAAAAAATAAAAAAATATGCAGTTTGTTCTTTATATTTATACTTAGTACATATATTATAATAAATTATGTATTGAAATATACCTAAAAATTGATTCAAAACTATGATCTCTTATTCCAAAAATATTTTCTAACAAAGAAATTGCAAAATATGTGCTGCAAAAAAGAAGAAAAAAGTTTAGAAATACTATGAAAATAAGCATTTTGAAACCTTTGGTATACTCAAGTGGTCATATTTATGAATTATATTTAATATAACAAAATAGTAAGTAATAAATTCTTCAATTAAATAGAGTAATTTAAAATTTTAAAATACATTAAAAATAATTACAAGATTCGGTTAGTTTGCACCCAAAACTCAATTTATCACTACCCAAACATGGTATCACCGCCCCATAGAATATGCACTGGAATTTCTATAGAACAATAAAGCAATTTCCAAAACGATACGATGTTTTCAAATTTGGATTGCTATTTTATTGTTTACATGCGTCAAATCGAGCTACTCACCCCAATTATCGTATTCAGCTCTGTCATGGTAACCTGTTTCGCCCTCTCCACGGCAGTGGCGACCTGCTGCTGGTGCTCCTGCGACAAGAAGGGCAGGATCTGCGCGATGATGGCGTTCAGTCTCTTCGCAATTTCAGTCTGAAACAAGGAAAAAACCTCAATAAACACCGCTCGTTCTGAAACAACCCCTTCCCCGTCCGGATCGGTGGGGGACGAGAGGGGATTAACGTCGGAGGAATGTCAACACTCGCGTCCACGTCGCCCGCGCCTGCATAGAAAAATAAACACATCCGGGCGCTGTTGTAACTTTTTTCGTGCCCCCAGCTTTTGCTGACGAGTGTTTGCGTAGCCCTGTGCAAACGTCGAGCGCCCCGTCTGTTTGTTTTTCCAACCCGGCGGTAGGCAGGATCTGCATCCGCGATGCGCCTCCAACCCCCCTTGATTGACAACGGTGTTCACCGTACGGCTAATTAGACGGGGGTCCGACTAATTCCGAAAAATACGGGAGGTGGGTTTAAAAACGGGTACGAAATTTTAGTGTGGCAGGGAAAACGCGTTCGAACGCGGGCCTCTATCCTATGAAAATGGAATAAAGCAGTGACGGCTCGTTAGAGGAGGCTGGGGAGGTTAAGCCTCCTCTGCAGTTTTTGATAGTATTCCAAAAATTTTCTTTTAGTTTTTTTTTATTTTACATCATATAATTAATATTATTTAAGAAATTTTCATACAAATCTATTTTCATATGCAACTAATTAGTATCTCGAGTACATAAATATACGATTTTTAAATGATCACTATTTTTCGCGCCCTCCGAATTCGCATTATAGTCGCTGGTAGCTAACTTTCTCAAGCCTCCAGCCTTTATCAGTGTTCTATATGCTGCAAGACCTTGAAATAGTGCCACGATGTCTACATTCGAGCTTAACCAGTCGAGCACGGAGGCTTGTTGCCACCTTCCATCTCTTTTTAACGAGCGAACCTTTCAATATGGCCCTTCTTCTCTACCACCTCTGGTAACTGGTGTTTATGTGAAGTTTTTCTTAAGAATTTTTGTGAGACGATCATAATTAATTAGTAAAACAATAATTTACATTTTACTCTGGTACATATTTAGCTTTATTAAAATAAAATGAGAGCGGAAAACGAACATAACCTCAACAACTTCGTTAGTTGCATGGACATTGTAGATTATTTATTATTAAAAGGATTTAGTACTCAGAGTTATGATGAAAAGCTCATAATTTAACAGAAATCGAGACCAACACCGTCTTTAGTTGCAGTGGGAGAAAAACAAAATAGGGGATTTAACGATAATAATTATAGAAAAACTGCATCAATTATTAGAAATAAATTATACCGCCGGCAATGTTTATTTTTCACTAATGATAATAATTTATCAGTTTGGAGCAGGGTGGGTTTTAACAATTTAAAAAATTTAACGAGAGGCCTCGAAAGACACGAAAAATTGCAAGAACATATTTCATCGCGTATTAAATTTGAAATGTTTGGTAAACAGAATATTTTAAACGCTTTAGATTCCGCTTAAAAACGGAAACACAACATTATAATGAGAAGGTTCGTGAAAATAGAGATGTTTTAAATAGACTAATCGATGTAGTAATATTTTTATCGTCTCAATAAATTTGTTTTCGCGGACATGATGAAAAAGTGGATTCTGCTAATCGAGGGAACTTTAAAGAGTTAATAAATTTATTAAAAACATACGATTCAAAATTGCAGAATTTCTTAGATAATGCCACTGTTTTTTTCGGGAACCTCTAAAACCATTGAAAACTATTTCATTGAGAGTACCTATTAGTTCAATTATCAAAAGTAAAATTTATGACGAATTAAATAATTGTGAATTTTTCTCCTGACAAGTTAATGAAACCACAGATGTTATCTGTAAGTCCCAATTATAGGTGATTTTTAAATACGCAATGCATGGAGAAGTTGTTGAAAGATTTGTTGGATTTTTTGACATAACAAGTGGAAGAGTTGCAGATAGTTATTTAAATTTGGAAATTTTGACAAAAAATAACAAAATAATGCAACACAGGATTCCAAGTAATGCTCCCACTGGTTGGAATTTTTCTTCTAGAGCTATTTTTACGGTCAAAATTTATAGAAAGAAACTTATTGAGGCTTTTGATTTCATATCGGATAGTGAGGATTTTTGAAATAATCAACAAACCTTAGGATCCGCTTATGGATTAAAACAATTGTTGTTGGACAAAAATTTATTTATTTTTTCTTGAAAACTTTTACAATGATTTCTGAATAAACCGATGTTGTATACCAAATTTTGCAGAATAAATTAACTGACGTAACATTTTCTAAAAAGAGAATTAATTCACTTTTATCAAAATTAAAAGAATTCCGTAATAAATGAGATACATTTCAACACGTATGCAATTTTCTTAGAAGACATTGACGAAACCTTGACGATGACCCGCCCTCAAAGAAAAAAAAGACAAGTTTAAAGTTTTTTATTTCAAGCCTCCTCGTCCAAATATACCACGATTCGCCACTGGAATAAAGTAAGGTAACTTAGCTTACAACTCAATCTTTATTCTTAATAAAGATTTATAATACTTCCGTGATACTTCTTGCTCGAGTATCTGACGTCGTCGCCTGGAGCCCGAGCCCTACGTCCTCCCTTCACACGCCCCTGGCAGAAGACTTCGGCGTCATATTTCACGACGAAGGCCGTCGAGAGAGATTTAGCCGTTACGGCGAGGAGGGACGCGCCTCCGCCGGGATATTGTGTCAACTTTTTAAGGTCTCGTATCAGCGCTCTCGCATCGGGAGCCCTCCCAGGGGGAATGTCGTACACGCCAGAAGTTATTTCGGCCGGGAATTTTAAAATATGCCGGATGAAACGACGTATTGCTTCGGGGATTCCTCGGTTTTTTCATCGGGAACGGATTCGATTTGTGACGCGTGTCAAGATTTGAATCAAGTGCAACAGTGACGGTGCCCAGTGCTCGGCCTGCTATGATTTTTTTGAGGGGTGATTTTTTTGTTAAAATGTAATGGGAATTTGTTTTGAATATTTTATTTAAGAAAACTGTTAAAATTATAGAAAAATGTAGCCAAAATTTTGACATTTACATCTGTCAAAAACACATGGGGGTTCTGGGAATCAACTTCAGTGGTGAAAACGTACCCTGAAGACTTTTGTGACGAACTTGATCCACTGTAATAGTGTAACATAGGAATTTCAATTTGCAATTTTTGGGGCAAGGAAATAATGCCTGTGAATTGGTTTGAATTTGATTAAAATTGAATTAAGATGAATATACACAAGAAAAATATTTTCTTCTTTCAAGAAAATTATTTATTTAAATACTTTATATTTCTACCCAGAAATTTAAAGTATTTAAAATAAATATTTGATACGGTTAAACGCATTCTATTCTTAATTTTATGACCTACATAGATTTTAAAGAAATTAGAATCATGTTTGTTTGTATGTATGTATGTATGTCGGAGGGGTGGTGGAATTGTCTTCCACCACGGCACTTAGGCCTTATTAGGCCCCTTGTACACCCTCCTTCATTACCCGAGTACTTTTCTTCAAACCATCTTATTTACTACACGGATGGCTTGGTGGCAAAGTCTCGTACAGTTTATGTATGATAACATGGTCTTGAGTTACAGAGATTTCTTGCTCTTCTCTCATTACCATTTATCGGGGACCACACGCGTGCGGCAAATGTTGGGCGACCCAGGTCTCTGGTAGGCTGCCACAGCCACGTCCCCGTGCCTGCCTTAGGTCACCCATCCAAATTCCGGCCCACGTCCGTGATGCTTGACTCGGCAGATCGAAATCCGCCGGCCAACACACTCGGCTAGGCGGTCCCCTAAACATGTTTGTATATTAATGTATCGTTTGTTTACTACAAAATTGAATAGTTTTGGTCAAATGATTGTGTATACTTATTTTAAGAATATATTTGGATATAAATATTTCTCAGTAATAAAAAATATTTTGTTTCAAACTCACAACACCTAGTACAACAGCTAGGATCGTTCGTAAGTTTAACCAACCAGAAAAGGTCAGTTTGAGACTTATTGATGGTCCTCATCATTGTCATTAGAACGATCCAGTTGCTTTAGTGTCGTTACTCACAAAGAGATGTGTATACACATAGCGTAAGTGGCTCGATCTATAGCGCTACTTTCCACCTACGCCATTCTGTGACCTGCTACAATTTTCTTTCAAGAAAACATGTTTGATTATAATATGCTACATTTGTCTTGAATAATTCCATTCCATTTGAATAGAATAAAATAACATTTACGGCAAATAATTCCATTTAAAATTATCTGCTCATTTGATCCAAATACTTTATTTTCAGTGTAGTCATATTAGTGAAGCAATTAATCTAATTAAATTAATAAGCAATAGATATGAGACTTTGTTGTTCTAGACAAAAAAAGTCTTTTTCATTAACTGAAGTGTCCTAGAGAATAAAATTAAAATGTTAACATTTTCAGTTTTCGAAAACAATTTAATTAATATTATTTGTATATAATATTGATCTGTTTTAATGCAATCGACTGTATAAAATGCAATAAAAGGTAATGAACGTTACAATAATTATGGATGATCAGGGTCGACGTTCAATCGCTCCTCTTGATTCCCACTTTCCAATTACGTGCGCTCTTGGAACGACATTTTGGTCGTTCCTAGAATGATATAAATCTGTCATCGGACTGGGCTTTTGCTTTCAGTTACCTCACACCTTTGGAAGGTGCGTTTGGTGGTCACCGAGTTATTTCTACGAATTTCGGGTTGATGTCCTAAAATCTATTTTCTTGGCAGCGATTTCCTGCGAACGCTCTGTCATCCACATATGATTCTATGTGTTCGGAGCGGTTGTAGACTTTGTGGACAGCTATGACAGCGGAATTCGAAAGATCGGTAAAAAATTTTGTTCAGCACCAATGCTGTGTGTCGATATCCTCGGACATGTTTTGCTTTATGTGAGTTCTTTTGGAACTTTTTAAGACTCTATGGGAGATTTTTAGGCATGGATTGGAAACATGGGTAAAAAGCAATAATGCCTTGAGAGTATTTAGAAATGGGGTTTTAAAAGTCATTGTATTTTACAGCCATCATATAGCGAAAT